GCCGCCGGGCTCCCCACAGCCGGGCCGCTCCCGTCCTCCTCCCCCCGGGCACCCCACAGCCTGGCCGCTCCCGCTCCTTTTCCCCCGGGCTCCCCACAGCTGGGCAGTTGCTTCCCCCTTTCTTCCTTAGCTCCTCACAACTCGGCGTCCTTTCCCCCTTCTCCCCGAGTACCCCACAACTCCTCAGCCCTTGCCCCCCTTCTCTCTGGGCTCCCCAGAGCTGGGAGCCACCGTTCCCCCCAGAGCTTCCCACAGCTGGGCAGCCTCTACCTCACACCTAGCAGAGCACCCCACAGCCTCCAGCCTCTGGCACAGCTGGGGGTAGCTTCTGACTCTCCCCCAGCAGGGCAGCTCCCCCAAACATACACACAGCAGGGCAGCCTCTGCCTTGCTCTCCCCACATCCCCTGTAGGTCAGCCACACTTGTACAGCTGAGCAGCTGCAGACTCCCCCTGCCACAGCAGCTTTGTCCCTGCTGTATACAGCTGGGAGCCCCTGGCCCCCTACCTACCACCTAGTCATTAATGTGTGTGTGTCTGAGAGCAGGGCTCTGCAGAGTCAGGCAGTAGGTGACTCCAGGTGGCCAGGATGTGCCGTGTGTAGGGTTGTGGGATGATCCCCGACTCTCATTGTTTTGTCCCTCTGACAAGGATACTGGGTGCTGAGTTGGGGGCAATTTGCTGCTGAGTGGCCTACCCCTGCTCCCATGCAGTCCTGTTCTCCCCCCCCCCCACCTCCTTGTACAGCTGAGCAGCAACACTCCCCCCCCCATACACCTCTGTACAGCTCTCCTGCACAGACACTGCTCCTTCTGCTCCCTAACAACCCCCTTTTCTCCTCCAGCAAATTCATAATCAGAATGATCGGCTGAGATGACAAGACCTAGCAGTGCTGGCAACAGGTACAAAATCCCAGGCAACTGAGGTCTCTGGCAGAGGAAAATTCAGCCATCCACTCAGGGCAGGTCTTTACAATGTTTGGGGTTTTATTCCCTTTTAGCCATTTGCCATTAGTAAGTCTGATTTGGTGGCAAATTATATGACACCATTTCTCCTCTCCTTATTTTGCCCTCATGTGAGAGCTTTTTTTGTTTACTTCAGAGCAAAGTGTTATTTACTATTTTATGTATTTCTGGACACTTGAGAAAATGTTGTGGACACAGGTGTAAAAAATGTCTTTCCATTTTAGTTTCTTCTCTCGTGATAGCTGCACAGTCATTCCTCTTTGGGTTTGCATTGTGCTTTATTGTTCTCAGTTTATAGTCACTGATTCTGTACTTGGGAACAGTCGGCCTTGTTTTCCTCATCTCGCTGCAGTGTGTTGCTTCAGAGTTGTTTTTGAGGTCTATTAAAAGTCCATCTTGTTTCTCACCTGTTCTTCCCTTCCGTGATTTATGCCATGGTGTGGGGTTTTGTCTGTTGTTTTCAGTAGCTTAGTGTGGAGTGTGCTTGTTTCCTTACAGCCTGCTTCTCCATACTGTAGTGATGGTGATGCTTGAGTGTGATGTTAAGGCAGCATGTCTTCCCTTAGTTGTCATCACTGGTTGTGACACACTTTCATTTATTAAAACCCCACAGCTGATGCCATGGGCCCTTTCTTCCCCCACACCCATTCCCATGGTTCCAGAGTTGGGGTTTTAGCAACACTGCAACGAACAGTCCCTTAGGCAAGGTCCCATGAGCCTGGGTCAGATTGCACTGGCCAGCTGTGGGTATCTATTGCAGTGTAGAGATATTATGGAAAGAGCATATTCTGCTTTAGTCTGTATACTCTAATATGGAAATTGAATGTATGGTGCTGTTAATTATGAAGAGGAATTGTCCTAATTCTGCTCTACAGCCATTGCTGGATCCCTTTTGTAAACAAATTTGTTTGCAGACCAGTCGTATCAGTTTTCTTCTGATAAGCACTATTAGCTGTTAAGACTTGAAGTAGCAAATAGCTTTGTATTTCAGTTTCTTCTCTCATGGTGGTTGCAGTTATTCCTCTCTGGGTCTGCAGAGTTCTCAGTTTATGGTCACTGATTCTGTATTTGGGAACAGTCTGCCTGGTTTTCCTGATCTCGCTGCAGGGTGCTGCTTGAAAGTTGCATTTAGGGGTCTATTAAATGTCTATCTTGTTTCTCAACTTTTTCCCCCTATTTATGGAGTGATTTGGGGTCTTGTCTGATGTTTTCATTATTCAGTTTGGGGTGAGCTTGTCATTTCTTTATGTAAGGTTGGCAGACCCCCAAGAGTCTGTGAGCAGAACCAAACCTCTGGAGCTTAGTGCATGAACCTCTACCACATGAGCAGCTGGCTATTAGCTAAGGCTGTAGAGCAAGACTCCTCTCTGTTAAGTGGTTTCTGTGCCACTATGTGACAGTACACTGCACCCAGCAGGTGTGTGGGTTACACTTACGCCCCACTTCTCCGTACTGTAGTGATGCTGATGCTTGGGTGTGATGTTAAAGCAGCATGTCTTCCCTTAGTTGTCGTTTCTGGTGGTGATGCACTTTATAATTCTGCCATAATCTTCAACATATTTGAGCGAGTTTGCGAGTAAGCAAGCCTGTCTGTCCATCTGTCGGTTTGTTCAAGAACTCTTCTTAAATGCTAAGAGCTAGGACCACCAAATTCGGTATGCAGCAAGGTCAGGGCATGGTTGTGTAGTAGAATCTCCCCTTCCTATTTGTATGGGGACACATAAAACCATACAGAAAAGAGACAGAATCACCAGGCAGATGAAAGGGGCTGGCTGGGGGCACTCCCACCCCCCATCCAGGAGTGCCCTAACTCCACGCCTACCATTTCCCAGGCACCCTCTAGAGAGCGCCGAGGGGGCTGCAGCTCCTGCCTCCTGAACAGTCCAGGGACATTGATGGCTGTTCCCCGTCCTCAGGCAGCAAGGGGAATTTCATTTTTCACTCTGGGAAGCACAGAGGGCAGACGAACTTGAACCTTCCCCAGCTGGTGAACATCCAGCCGTCCTCTGGCTCTGCCTGCGAGAGTTGCAGTAGCCATGGACATAAGAACTGCCATGCTGAGTCAGTCCAAAAGTTCATCTAGCCCAGTATCCGGTTTGCCGACAATGGCAATGCCAGATGCCCAGGAGGAAGTGAACACAAAAGGTAATCCTCATGCAATCCCTCTCCTGTAGTCCATTTCCAGACAAACAGAGGCTAGGGACACCATTCCTACCCATCCTGGCTAATAGTCATTGATGGACCTAACTTCCATGAATCTATCTAGCTCTTTTGTGAACACTGTTAAAGTCCTAGTCTTCACCACATCCTCTGGCAAGGAGTCCTACAGGTTGACTGTGCACTGAGTGAAGAAAAACTTCCTTTGGTTTGTTTTAAACCTGCTACCTATTAATTTCATTTGGTGACCCCCAGTTCTTATATTGTGGAGAGATGCTTCTCACTTGGTCCCAAGCTCCTGCAGTGAGAGAGGGTTGGGGTAGTCCTTTCTCCCTGGGGCAGCCTGCACACTGAGCCCCTCATACCCAGCCCCACCTCAGAGCAGATTTAAATTAAGAAAAACAAAAATTAATTGAGTTAAGGACCCAAGCACTGCTGGGTAAATCTTCCAGTGGTAAATAATTTTGCAGCAGAGAAAGCTGATTTCATTTATCCGATTTTATTTTCAAATAGTTTAAGACCTGCTTGCCTTTCCTCATCTAATGTTTTTATAGCTAGCTTGCAGTTCTTTTTGAGATTTTTTATCAGAGCTAATGCTGAAGTGCTACGTAATGTATTCAACAGTTCTGCTTCCAAAATAACCTTTTAATTTGGTTGGGGGGGTATTGGTTTGGTTTTTTTTTAATATTATTTCGTTCTTGTGTAAGATGACCTCTAGAGCTGTGGTCCCCAACACGGTGCCCGCGGGCGCCATGGCGCTCGCGGGGGCATTTGTCTGCGCCCACCAAGTGCTCCGGGCTGGCCTGGTCCCGGGCACGTGGCGCATGCGCGGTGCCGGAGCTGGCCCTGGGCACATGGCGCACGGTGAGCACCAGCCCCGGGAGCGCCGCGGATTGGCCGCCCGCGCTCTGGGCACGCGACGCTTGAGGGGGGAGGGGAGCGCCGGCCCCAGGCGCGCGGCTATGGGGGGGGCCCGCAGGCGCTTGGGGGAGGTGCGCAGCACTTCGAGAGCGCTGGCCCCGGGCGCGCGGCGCTTGAGGGGAGAGCGCCGGCCCCGGAATGCGGCTATGGGGGGGGCCACCCTCCCCCCTCCGGGCGCCCGGCGGGCGAACGGCCACGCCCCCTGGTGCCCGGCAACCCCAAATGGTTGGGGACCACTGCTCTAGAGCCTCTGTCTTGTAATATGTTTCTTTAAACTCCTTTAGTTTAGTTTGGCATTGGCAATAGTACAATCTAGTCATCGGCATATTTTTGAACTATTAGTCAGAATCCTGGGTCTGAGGCCTGCTCCAGTAAAATGGACTATTGACAGAACTGATCAAATTGTTTGCTCAATTTAGCTTTTTATTCTGTTCATGGATAGTCTGCAAATATAATTTTATTAGTTGTTAAAAACCATTTGATGTTCAAAACTATTAGATGTTCAAAACCACTTAACACTAATATAGTTAAGTGTACAGATTGTTCAAATTGTCCCCAGCAAATATTCAGTTGATTATTATATACCCTGACAAAAACTATATTAACTCTACCTAAAGGCTGAGAGTACAAATCGGTAATTGAAGGGCAAAAATGTTACAGGGACACTAAGTATCACAAAATGAAGCATTATAAAAGCAAGAAGGGTTTTTACATTTAAAAGAAATGCAAATATGTTTCTATTTGGAAATTGCATATTTGTGGTTCTTCCTGCACCCTCTCCAATTTTTCAACATATTTTAAAAAAATATGGACGCCAAAACTGGACACTATCAGTCTCACCAATGTCATACAAAGAGCTAAAATCATCTCCCTATTCCTATCCACTACTCTTCTCAGTCTATATCCATGGACTTTCATTAGTCCTTTTTGCCACAGCCTGGCACTAAAAATTCAAATTGATTGTCCTCTCTGACCCTCTCGATCCTTCTTGGAGTCTCTGCTTTCCAAGGTGCAGTGCTCCATTCTCTAGGCACGATCAGCACTCCTTGTTCTACACATATAACTCTGCATTGGACAAATAACATGCATTTTATTTGAATGAGCCTAGCTCACCAAGGGCACGTCTACAGAGCAGGGCTAAAGCCGAAATAAACTCCACAACTTGAGCTACGTCAATTGCATAGCTTAAGTCAAAATAGCTTATTTCAGCTTTTGGTGCTGTCTGTCCAGCAAGAAATTCAAGAAAGAGCACTCTTCCGCTGACCTCCCTTACTCCTTGAAAATGAGGGTTACAGGAGTCAGAGTAAGAAGTCCTCCAGCTCGCCATTATTTTGACATTGTCGAAATAACTGCTTATAGTGTAGCTGCAGACTCTGTTGTTTGAAATAATGTCAGTTATTCTGAAATAACGCTGCTGTACAGACGTACCCCAAGTGATTCAGATTGCTCCATATGACTTCCCTGTCTTTTTAATTATTTACCAGTACATCTGCATCAATCTAGTTATTATATAAATGTTATGCTGTCTCTTCTCTCCTAGAAATAGCTATATGTAATATTTCTGCCAATACCTGTGTACCGTTCTATTTATTTAACAGGGTATTTTCCCTTTTGTAAAGACACCTTGAAACAGTGATACATAGTTGCCTATAGCATCTTGCAAGGAATTGCTCAGAATTGTATTAATCACATATTTTGATGATTTCCTGTTTGACTGCCTCTTTTATGCAGTCATCTGCAGAAGTGGGCTGTGCCCACGAAAGCTCATGATCCCATCGACATGTTTTGTTAGTCTTTAAAGTGCTACCAGACCATTAGTTGTTTTTCAAGTTTATCTTTTATGCAGAAAAGCTATTTTCTCATATGTCTTTTTCATGTGCTATATCCAGACTGTCTAAACCGGTTCAAATACTACTGGTGACTAAAACCCAGTGGCAGATGCAGCCTCCCATTTCAATGGGTGCATTCCTCCTCCGCAGCTAGCTCCTCACCCCCCTAAATGCCTGCAGCAGCACTTCCTGCCTCCACACTGCAATGGTAATCCTGGCCTGGGAAGCCCTGTGGGGGGAGCTTGCGCTCAGCGTTCTCCCCACAGCAGCAGCTCCAGCCCCTGCACTGTTGCTCTGCCTGACGCTGGGCCCAGCCTTGCGAGACAGGAGCCAGTGCTGCAGGGTTTCTGTGGATCCAGTGATGCCCATGAACTCCTACTAAAGCTGCCTTTGCTCCCACCATACCATGTGAATTGATGCCCCACAAACTCATCCTGCCCGGTTTCTGTCAGTATCTGGGAGAAAATATAAAATCATTGCAGGTGAAGATTTCAAGTGACACAAAGATCGGTGGCAAGTGGTAAATAACAGTAGGGGCGGGTCAGAGTCATCTGGGTTGCCTGGTAGCCTGGGCTCCACTAAGCAGCTGGCATTTTGAAAGACAGCTCAGAATGTTGTGCATATTTCTAGGCAGGAGACTGGTATTCTGGAGAGCAGAGACTTTGTGAAAGTGTCTTGGGGGTTATTGTGGAATACTAACCACACAGGCTACCGAGAGATTGGTGGATTCTCCGTGACTGGAGTATTTCAGGTTGGATGTCTCTGTAAGAGATACCTTTGACCAGTACAGGGCTCCATGTGGTGGGCTCAGTGCAAGAACTTTTCGTAGGTCAGATTAGACGGTCACAATGATCTTTTTGGGTCCAAATTCTCTCTTGTGCATGTGTGCAAGCGTGCCATGGGCAGTGGAGGAACCCCCTTCCTTTTGGGGAAGCTAGTCTTTTGGTCCCACCCCTCCAGACAGAGGCCTCATTCCCTCTCCAGATTCACATGGCCTGCCCCCAATGGCTGCAGGAGCCAACATTAGTGCGCCTCAGTGTCCCCAAGCCACTGGCCAGCCCACTCCAGCCGCACGGGCCCTGGCTTGGGCACTGGCCCAGGCCACTGGTTGACCTGGGCATTGGGCCTTCAACCAGCCTGAGCTGCCCTGGCCAACTCAAACCCTGAGCTCCAGGCCAGTGGCTGGAACTGAGTCCCCACTGGCTTCAGGAAATAGGGCGAGTGAGAGTGCGGCCTTGGGGCAAAGCGTAGACAGGACCACAGCCTGGATAAAGGGAGGCTTAGCTTCCCTTGGCCTTCAACACCCCCTGTCCACGACGCACACTCAAATTGAAGGTGTGTAGATTAGAAGAAGGGGAGGGAAAATGCCGGGGTAAGGAGCACAGGAGTGAAAAGAAAATGCAGGCAGAGGTGCAGAACAGTGTGGGGGCTATCCAGTTTGTTGCACCCAGTGTAGCATGTACGATTACCTGCCCTATGAGCAGGTAACATGTGGTGCAAGGAGCTCCTGGCTCTCAGAGAACATGTAGGCTGCGTCTAGACTGGCAAGTTTTTCCGCAAAAGTGGCTGCTTTTGCAGAAAAACTTGCCAGCTGTCTAAACTGGCCGCTTGAATTTGCGCAAGAACACTGACGATCTAATGTAAGATCGTCAGTGTTCTTCCGCAAATACTATGCTGCTCCCGTTCGGGAAAAAGCCCTCTTGCGCAAATGTATTTGCGCAAGAGGGCCAGTGTAGACAGCTAAAAACTGTTTTGCGCAAAAAAGCCCCGATGGCAAAAATGGTGATCGGAACTTTCTTGCACAAAACTGCGTCTAGATTGGCACGGACGCTTTTCCGCAAAAAGTGCTTTTGCGGAAAAGCATCCGTGCCAATCTAGATGCTCTTTTCCACAAATGCTTTTAACGGAAATACTTTTCCATTAAAAGCATTTGAGGAAAATCATGCCAGTCTAGACGTAGCCGTACAGTCTTTGGAGATGAGAGCGGTTGAACTGGAGGAACTAAAGGAGACAGAGAGGTACGTAGGTGCGACTTCCTGGGACACAGTAGATGGGTGCCACATCCGGTCAGACAGCCTCTGTGCTTTGAGGAGGGTGAAAGCCTCAGGGAAGGAAAACATCCAACTAGAGTGGAGAACATCCGGTCAGACAACCTCTGTGCTGTTGAGGAGGGTGAAAGCCTCAGGGAAGGAAAACATCCAACTAGAGTGGAGGAAGATGATCTCTTAGTTGTGACCCTCCTTCCAGATGATGTAGTCTCAGGCACTGAGGATACCTCTCTCGGGGCAGGAACACCAATTACTAGGAAGAGACAGGTGTTTGTAATGTGGGATTCGATCATTAAAAACATAGCTGGGTTTGCAATGACTGGGAGAACCGCAAGGTGACTTGCTTATCTGGTGCAAGGGTTACAGATGGGTTACAGATCTCGAGATGTCTAGATAGACTTGTGTGCAGTGCTGGGGACAAGCTGGTGGCTGTGGTACATGTGGGTACCAATGACATAGGATAGGAGCAGGAGGTGGGTGTGCAGGAAGAGGTGAGAGTACTGGAGAGGGCTCAGGGCTGAGGCAGATCTTGGTGTCATTGTGGATAGTTCTCTGAAAACATCTGCTCAATGGCTACGTCTAGACTACGTCCCTTTTTCGGAAAAGGGATGTAAATTAGACGTATCGCAATTGCTAATGAAGCAGGGATTTAAATCTCCCGTGCTTCATTAGCACAAAAATGGCTGCTGCTTTTTTTCGGCATGGAGCTTTGTAGGTGCTTTTGTCCCAATCACTTTCCACTTGGAAAATAGGATTTAGGGCTCTGTCCTGTGAGTTACTAAGCACCCTAACCTCCCACTGAAGCTAGTGTTCATCTTGAAGAATCAAGCCCTTAAGTTCTAAGACACATAGGCTATGTCTACACTCGCAGCAGACACTAAGGCTATGGCTGTTTTTGCGCAAGAATCTGCAGAGCGTCCACTCTTCCCACCTGCTCTTGTGCAAGGAAATTTACAGTACGGCGTGGTAAGAGGGCTCCTTGCGCAAGAGTTATGCTCTTTTTTAACAGGTATAAACCCTCTTGCACAGGAGCTCTTGCGCAAGAGGGCAGTGTGGACACTCAGCAGGGATTTCTTGCGTAAGAAAGCCCTATGGCTAAAATGGCCATCAGAGCTTTCTTGGCAAGAGAGCGTCCACACTGCCATGGGAGCTCTTGCGCAAAAGCACAGTTTGCACGTGGCAATGTGGACGTTTTCTTGCACAAGACTTCTTGAACAAGAACTCTTGCGCAAGATGTTCTTGTGCAAGAAGCCGCCAGTATAGGCATGACCTAAATGTTTAACTAGTGTCTGAGGCGAGAAGTAAACTTCAAGATGAATGTGTCTCATTGAAGTGTACCTCTCGTTTGTTTCAAAATCTGTTACTTTTGTTACTTGTTCCTTGCACTGCAGTGTACAGGAAGGACTTGCCGAATCTGAGCATTTCACTCTATTAACCTTTGAGCTGCGATACTTTCCCGTGTTTAGCTTTTAAAGATGAAACCTGCTTACTTTTGAATATATAACACAAAGCTGTAACCGTGCACATTGTTTTTACCTGTAAAGTCTGCATGCAATGCAGAAACTGGTAGGGTGACCAGATGGCCCATATTTAAACTCCCCTGCAGGTGCCCTGACTTTCTTTAAAATGATCAAATTGTCCCATATTTTCACCCCCATCAGTGCTGGTGAGCCCGGCTTGCCTGATGCCTGCCCACCAGTGGTGAATGGGAGGAGCCAGTGGCTGACGATGGAGGTGGATATACAAGGCTGATGGCAGCGTGAAGACGCAGCACATGTGACTCGCTTTGCCTCCTGCTGGTCCATCTGTGCAGCCCCACCCCCTGCTGTGTGTCTGCTCTCTGTCAGAAAGGCCCAGCCACCTTCCCCTTTCTGTCCCACACTGGCTGAGTGCTGTCGGGTGTGGGCAGGCGTTATCCGTTGCCTCTGCTGCCAACCCATCAGCCCATTACGTGCTTCCCCCTCTCGCTTTCCTCTCCCTGATCTAACCCTTCACACCCACCCCAGCACTGCTGCTTTGTGTCCTCCCTGGTGGATGCGTCCCACTCCCAGAGCCCTGCAGAGAACAAGCCCCTGGTTGGAGCACTGAGCTCACTACAGCCAGACCAGCAGCTCCCTCCTCTCCCCAAACGCACTTCCGGCATGGGGCACTGGCCAGGAGCTGAGCCCTTCCTGTGCCAAAGCCCCACATAACTCTGGCACTGCGGTTCAGATGGGGGGGGAGGGGAGAGGGAAGCAATTTCCAGCCTGTTCATGCCCTGAACCTGCAGGCTTCACAGCAGCTCCCCCGGGCAGGAGCTTAGCACTTTCGTCACACACGTGCACCCCCTGCCCCAGGGAGCAAGGGACTGCTCCATCCCCTAGCCAGCCTCCTCTGCTGAGCCACCTTTCTGGCCACGAGTTGCCCTATGCCCCTAGAGTCAGGTTCCCTGGGCCCTGGTGCACAATGCAGCCTTAGGGGTTAACCCCTTCCTGCCCATGCTGTGACAGGAGGCAGCTGGGTTATGTTGGTGACTAGCAGTAGCCTGGAGGGGTTAGCTGCCTTTTGACTCTGTGTGGGCAGGAAGAGACAAGATGGGGAGAAAAGATTCCCCTGCCCCATCTCCTGTGGCTGAAAGCAGCACCTGTCCCTGTCCTGCAGAAAACTGATACTGGCCACATTCTGGTGTGAACCCTGACCAATCTGGGGAGGGCATGTGACCCTGCATCCCCCCCCCCCAGTTTTGCTTTGGGAAAATGCCACAACAGGTATGTGTGTCCAAGGGACCCAGCCAGGCACAAAGGGCAGTGAGCATGGGGCAGGGAGGGCAAGTCTGTCAGCCACACCCCTCTCATATTAGGTATATGGAAGAGTGTTTGTCTCACCTCTCCCCATGTGTGAATGGGACATATGGGGGGGGGTGGGCAGGAGAAATGCCACTCTTCCCCCTATGAACTCTAAAGCCTTAGAGGCAAACAAAAAATTCAATTCCATAGTATTTTTTAATAGGGATTCAGTCACCTTGATGCTAATTTGAACATTTGCACTGCATAGTTCTGAGTGCTTGCCACTGGACACCAGTAATTTTATCAGGCGTCCCGTACCCAGCATAAGGAAATATGGTCACCCAAGCACCAGTCAACATGGGGATCAAACGGAAGATCAGCAGCACAAAAAGCAAATGTCCTCACCACTCAAAGGAATATATTACTAGCTAAATGATACAAAATCCACATAGGCGGTTACATGTGGAATCTGAAAGGCCTGCAAAACATGTCTGAGCAGCGTTCTCTACTCCACTAGAGAATGGCACCGCGTCAGCTCATCCCAGTGTACCCTAAACCATCAAACTCTTGACAAATGACTGAAATGTGGAGCACCTTCATTGTTGCATATTGCACTGTCGTTGATAGATTATATGGTTACAATGGTACAACCCCATGCTCCGCCCCCTCCTGTGTGTGCATCCAATCCCCACTGCCCCCTCCTGCACAGCCGATTGCAAGAGGGAGATGATGATTGGTGGGGCTGCTGGGGGAGGAGCAGGCTGTCTCAGTGCAGTGGAGTGATCCAGCTGGGAGACAGAGCAGGGCAGTAGGTTTCTGCATCACCCCACTTCCCAGCTCAGGCTGTGTCTACACTACAGGGCTTTATTGGAAAAAGGCATGCAAATTGTGTTTCTGCTCCATCTACGCTGGGCCAAATTTTGAAAAAAACCCTCTTTTGGAAGAGCCCTTCTTCCTTGTGGGAGGAAGAAGTCAGGGCTTCCAAAAGCACGCATCTGCTCTTCTGCAAAAAAAGAAGCAGAAGAGCAGATGCGTTCTCTGGACACAGCGGAGTTTTTCCCGTATCCCTCCCAGAATCCTGGTATCCTAGAAAAACCCCATAGTCTAGACATAGCCTCAGTGAACAAAGGTTCAGACTCAGGCTGTGTCTAGACTGCAAAGAAAAGTCAGAAAAAGATATGCAAATTGGGAAGAGGCTTTTCCAAAATGTGGCCTGTCTACATAGGGCCACATTTTGTAAAAACCTCCTCTTTCTGAACATCCCTTCTTCCTCATACAAAGAGGAATACAGGGATGCCAAAAGAACACATCTGCTTTTTCCAAAATGGTTCCAAAAAAGTGGACATATTCCGTGGACACAGCATAGCTTTTCCGGGATTCCTTTGGTATCCCAGAAAAACTCTACAGGGTAGACATAGCCTCAGCCTTCACTAACATCTAGGGCCATTGATGTTTGGTTAGAAATGCGCTATGGCAGGTGTTAAAGGTGTTAACATGTTGGTGTTAAAAGATTTTTTTCTTTGTAGGAGAGTAGTGTTACATCTCTGAAGAAATGCTGCATTGGGGATGGAAGTTCTTTTGGGAAAAGCTTCTGCGAACAAATGAGTTTGCTTTCTGCCTAGCGCTATCTCTAACAAGAGATTCTTGGGGTACGTTTCTCCATGGGAAGCAGGTGTTTGTGTCCTGGGCTGAGTTTTCTGAAGAGGGGATTGCCTGTTTCCTATTTGTGACTGCTTCTGCTCCAAGACTGCTCAGTTGACTGTAAATAATCAAGATACGTTAGGAAACTACTCAGACTCCACATCACTGATTTCTCTACCACCACCAAACTGATCTCCAAGGCTCTGACATCTGCTACCACTGGGCAAAAAAATGACAGGAGTACACACAGGATAACAGTGTAACAACACCTAGTAATGCAATGTAAGTAATGACTGAAAATGAAAATAATTTTTATTAAAAATTAATGATACAGAAAGCAGAGTCAGATTTCAGACATGGCTTTTCCCAAGAAGAGAAGCTGTGTGTTCTGGAGCCTCCCCCTCCCCCCTCAGCTGTACTCTTCACACAAGAGCCATAGGAGTCCCTGCTCCTCCATGCCAAGTTCAAAAAACAAAAGCAAATATTTCTTTTCCTGTTCTTTTCTCTGGCTGAAGCCTCACAGCACAACTCCTATCAGCAGAGCTCTTGAGCCCATTTAGCCCCAGTCTACACTGGGGAGTTATTTCTGCTAGCCAGGGCAGAGGGAGCCAAGTGACAGCAACTACTATTGGAGGGAGTAATTATTCCACTCGGCTGAGACACCAAGACGTTATTCTTCGACCCGCAGTGCTTTGGGTTTGATTGGAGCAGACCTCACTGATTACAGCAGAGAGTGATATCTGCTGCCACTAGACAAGTGGCCGAATGTGTGCAGCAGGGACATTCACAGCTTACTGCTCCGGTGTCCTGCATGGGACATCCACTCCTTCAGGGGAGGGCTTCCTATGGACACCAGTTTCTTCAGAAATGCACTGGGCTGCACTCTAGGAATGTCAGGATGGGCCTCAGAATATTTCTGCAGTTTAGCCAGAATGTGAGGTAACCCAATGTCTGAAGCATAGAACATGGGCCCCCCTCTGTGCTTTGGCCATCCATAGCCATGGCTATAGATGACATCAATATCTTCTGGGGCACAAGCTATTCCATCGTCTAAGATCCGAAAGCCCTCGTTGATGAGGGCATATAGACAGCGCTCCAGGATCTCCTCCTGGTCTATAAAGCGTGCCTGAATGTGATGGGCATCTCTATAATCACGCAGGAAATTGTGAAGCCATGGATCTGGATTAGCTATTCTAGCCCCTGGTTTCTCATACTGGTACCAGCCCATGCCAGTCTTCTGCCCATACCTTCCATTTTCACACAGAAGATCGGGCAGTGGGCTGTATCTCCTCCTGTCACGCAGACGAGCAGGAGTTCCTGGAGCCAGTCCAGGTCCCGTCAGGCCCTGCCCTTTCCGAGATCTCCAGCCCACATCAAGCCCAGCAAGATCTGACAGTCGGAAGGGCCCCATATTGAAACCAAATCCCTCAAGAGCTTGATCTACTTCTTCTGGTTTACAGCCTTCTTCTAAGAGGAAAACTGCCTGTTCAATGTAAGGAGCCATCATTCTGTTCCCAACAAATCCAAAGCAATTTCCTACTACAACCCCTATTTTGCCTATAGTTTTGGCTAAACCCATGGCCGTGGCAATGGTGGTGGGCGATGTGTGACGACCGTGGATTATTTCTAACAGCTTCATTACATGGGCAGGTGAGAAGAAGTGAGTACCAACGACCTGCTGAGGGCGGCTGGTGACTGCAGCAATCTCATCGATATCCAGGGCTGAAGTGTTAGTGCACAAGAAGGCCTCTGGTTTGCAGACTGCTGACACCTTACGGAAGATCTCCTTCTTCAGTGCCATGTCCTCAAACACAGCCTCAATAACTAGATCTACATCCTGTAACACACCAAAGTCCACAGTGAACTGGACATGGGCAGGGTCACAAGCATCCGGGCTTTGGCCACTGCGCTGCATTTTCGAAGCCTCGTGTTCTAGAAGGGATGTCACAGCTCTTCTTCCTATCTCCAGGTGTTTCTGGTCCTGCTCTAGAGTTACTACGGACATCTTGGCCTTCACCAGAGAAATCACAATGCCCCGGCCCATTGTTCCCAGCCCTGGTGATAAAAACAAGAGGAAAACAAAGACTAAGTATTAGGAATTGTTAAGTACACCTCTGGAAATGGGCTCCTTTGCTACTTCCAGCACAGGAAACAGGTTTCTGAGCAAATCAAACAGAGAGTGGGAAGGTACAGATGAGAAAAAGTAAATGGAAAATTGGAGGAAAGCAACATTTTAATTTGGTCTTTGAGTGCATGTCAAGGGTTAATAGGAGCATCTGCTTGAAAGGTGAAGCTGTAAAGATTGGCTAATGCCTGTTCAAGGTGTAGAACCATGCTGGGGTGGTCTCCAGAGCACATGTACCCCAGTGTAATTTAAGCCTGTTCCCCCACTCATACATCGTATTATGGCAGGCAGTTGGAGCAGGGCAGCAGACATAAGGAAACCTGGATTCTCTTTGCACCTTGGCAACAGACTTCCAGTGGGACCCTTTGCAAGGCACATCTGAGTGCCTCAGCTCCCCAGCTGTACGTTAGGGCTATCAACCCCTGGCTAGTTTTGGAAATGCTTGCAGAAACCTGTCAGGTAAGAAAAAGGAAACAAACAAGAGTTTAACCCTAATGAAGTGCAGAACCTGATCTTTTCCATTTTAAAAGGGGGCTGCTCCAGCCCCGCTGGTTTGAATGCCTTACTAAAGTCTAGATATTCCATATCTGTCGCTTCCTGCTTAGCCCCAAGGTTCAAGGCCTTATCCTATCAAAGAAAGCTAACAGGCTAGTTTGACATTTTGACATGATTTGTTCTTTACTTTTTGTACTTTACTATTATTTATCACCTTATTATCTTTCAGAAGTTTGCAAATGTATTATTTAATGTTTGCTCCATTATCCTTCCTGGTACTGTAGTTAAGGTGACTGGTCTGTAATTCCCTGGGTCTCCAGCAGCGCGGTTTGGCACGCTGTGCATGCACTGATCGCACTGCGGCGCCGTGCCGGCTTAAAATCTACTCACCCCAGTCGAGCCCTGCCTATTGTGAACCATTGATAACTACACTCCGGGAATAGTTATCCAATCATTTATGACCCCACCTTATAGTAACTCCCTCTAGGTTGTATTTACCTCGTTTATTAATAAAAGACTGTATCGAATGCCTTACTAAAGTCTAGATATTCCATATCTGTCGCTCAACCCTGCCTGAGGCTGCCAGCTCCCAGCCAGCACAGGGCTGGAAGGATGAGCCCCACACGGGGGCCCGGTGGTGCTGGAGTAGCACTCTGCCTGCAGCAGGAGGGGGACTGCTCCCAGGATACTAGTTAACCATTACCATATAAGCATCATTTGTTAAAGGCCACTGGTTACCCGATGATATCCCTATTGTCAGGGCTTGACAAGTGGTGGCGAGCCCCGCTCTCCAGCAGCGCGGTTTGGCACGCTGTGCATGCACTGATCGCACTGCGGCGCCGTGCCGGCTTAAAATCTACTCACCCCAGTCGAGCCCTGCCTATTGTGAACCATTGATAACTACACTCCGGGAATAGTTATCCAATCATTTATGACCCCACCTTATAGTAACTCCCTCTAGGTTGTATTTACCTCGTTTATTAATAAAAGACTGTATCGAATGCCTTACTAAAGTCTAGATATTCCATATCTGTCGCTTCCTGCTTAGCCCCAAGGTTCAAGGCCTTATCCTATCAAAGAAAGCTAACAGGCTAGTTTGACATTTTGACATGATTTGTTCTTTACTTTTTGTACTTTACTATTATTTATCACCTTATTATCTTTCAGAAGTTTGCAAATGTATTATTTAATGTTTGCTCCATTATCCTTCCTGGTACTGTAGTTAAGGTGACTGGTCTGTAATTCCCTGGGTTTTCTTTATTTTTCTTTTTACAGATGAGCACTATGTTTGTCCTTTTCCTGTCTTCTGGAATCAATCCCATACTCCATGACTTTTCAAAGATAATAGCTAATAGCTCAGATATCTCCCCAGTCAGCTCCTTGAGTTTAAAAAGCTTTGTCATGATTTAAAACCTATTACATCAAGTCTAAGGTTACCCACAATCTATTGAGTCAACTGAAAGTGGTGTTAAAATAGTAAAAACATGATAAACAAAAGTTTAAAAGGTGGAGAGGAGATGAGGAAGAGTAACTAGAAGGGAGGAGGAGAACCACACAAGGACCGAATCTTGGATGCTAAGAATGAACAACATTTCGGGAAGAGCATGCGGGACTTGTGGAAGGTCAAGGAGAAGGATGGGGCACTGGTTCTGAGCTCTGGCTAGAAAGAAGTCATTCCAGATTTTGGTGAGAGCAATTTTGGTGCAGTGCAAGAGGTGGAAGCTGGACAGGAGAGGGCCTAGGGTACAACTCGCTGACAGCGACTGTGAACAGCACGTGAGCCTAGAGATGAAAAAGAGATGAAGGGAAATAGGAGAATACCCAAACAGTGCCACAATTTAGTCAGTTGTCTTTAAAACCCCACCCTGGACCCCACTTGCCTTTCCAAGTGCTGCCCCTTGGACCTTTTTTCTTCTCCCTCTGTATCTGATCTCATCCACAAACATACATTCAGCTATGCAGATAATTGGCAGATCTACCTCTCTATGCCTGCCCAAACTAAAATCTTGGTCTGTCTTGCTGATATCTCCTCATGGATGTCTAGTCAACAGCTCAAACCCAGCATGGCTCCACAACCCTCTCTCTCAATTACTATGGCAATACCACCCTCCTGCCTGTCTGGCTGTCATCTTAGGCACACGCTTTTCTCCAGATCCTCCCACCCAGGAGATATCTAAATCCTGCAGACCTTATCTACATGTCATTGTTAATGTATGGCTTTTCCTAGCCAGCCTCACTGCTAGAACTTGGGTCCAGGCTCTCCTCTTACACACTGATTACTGCAACATCCTTTTTCCCTGTTCTTGACAAGTGCCATCTTGGCCTGCTTCCATCCATTCAGAACACCACTGGAAAGATAACTTCCCCAGCCCACTTTTTGACCATGTCACCTCTCTTTTTGCATCCCTTCGGACTCCTCTAGCACATCAGGCATACACTGCATGTGTATAGCCTATCCCCACCCTACCACTATCTTATTCACTATTGAGACATTGAGTCTTGCTTCCAACTGCTCCGTGATGCCAACCTCAACTATTCATTTGTCAAATCTTCAAACAAATACCTTTGTTCTTTCTCCCACACTGCCCCTTATGAATGGGAAGAGCTCCCCGTACAACTAACTCAATATCCTCCTTCAAGAGCTTCCTTAAAAATCTTCTTTGTTGTAACAAAACACTTGATGATACTTGGGCTGCTGGTCTACTGCCTATCACTCACTGTTTCATTGTATTCCACTATCTGTGTCCATGTGTTGTCTCTTCTACTTAGATTGTTAAGTTCCTTGGAGCAGGGGCAGGCTTGTTCTGGGTTTGTGCTAGGGATGTTAAAAAGCAGCTAGTTAGGGAACTGTAGCCATCAAAAAACTTAGCAGTTACACACTGCAGGCTCTGTAGTATAAAGCTAATGCTGCAGAGCCCACAGCGCAGGATGGCAGCCAGCTCCCCAGGAGCCAGTGTATGCCGGAAGCCGTCTTTTAAGCCGGCTCTCAGCATTTACCAGCTCCTGCCTCCCACCCTGCTCCCAGCTCCTTTATCAGAGGCAGCAGCACATGGTGGCAGCCAGCTCCCTGGGAGGAAGGCTGGGAGCCAGCATGTAACTGTTACAGTAACCGATAAGTTCATGCTTATTTAAACAGTTAGACTATTAGATCCCTTGTTTATGCAATGTCTAGCACAATGACTGGGGCTCCTGCATGCTACAATCATACAAGTACATAAAAAATAGTCTGAGAACCACCTAAAAAGTCAAATACTAGTGGAGTTTAAAAGGTTTTTCCTGTGCCAAGCACTTGTAAAGCAAAGGGGCACTCTGAATACGAGCACTGTTAACAGCCAGAATAAAGCCACAACTACACAAGGTCTGCAATAATTCTATAAAAATGATTTTTTAAATCCAGAATCCAGCTGACCAGGTTTTCAAATGAAAGTCAATCAGCCAAACAAAGAAACACAAAGCAGGGGGATTAAAAAATTAATCTAAAGCTGCTTTATAAAGAATGGCTGAAATTATGTCATCAGTAAAACAAGCTCAAGTCTCCGTAACACAGGTCAAACAAGGTGGAGTATTTTTTCCACTAGCAGCCTGTCATCACTGTAGCTCTGACCATGTATTATAACAAGTATGCTCTACCAAAACATTTCCTAGCCTTGACAACAAGAACTAAGATCTTGAAAATGTGTTTTCAAAGACAAGCATTTTACTTCTGGTGAAAACATCAGCAGAACGCTTAATGATTTCTGTCTTGGGCCCAGTGATGGAAAAATAAGATGTGATGTCATAATCAAAATGAATATACTACTAACACTTCTGGATTTGAATAACGATATTAACTGGTTAACACACTATAACATCAATTCTCCATGCCTTTGACATTCGCATTTAATATCAATAACTATGAACGGGACAAATCCAGCCTACCTACTTAGTGTCATTAAAAAGGGTCCTACAATGGACAGGTAACTCTTTTTGCTGTTATATATATCTTGGATTCTGTATTTCCACTCCAACTCATCTGATGAGATGAGCTTTTACCCAGGAAAGCGTATGATCCTATACCTTTGTTAGTCTGGTGCCATGAGACTACTCGTTGCTTTTAAAGTTACACACTATCAGGGCTACCTCCTGAGACTTCATTTATGTAACCAACAAAGGTAAAGTAATTTTAAAAGATTATAGGTGTCCTTCTGTCCATTCCCATTTACTGAATGTAGACAAAGTACAGATGTTAACACTAAAAACATGTTGCCAGACTGCTGCACTTCTTCCTTCTGCTAGGTCTTTAGTCAACAGCTGGGCATTTGAAGGTAGATTTGGCACCAGGAGCACCAAGAGCCAGGAAAAGAATAAATTCTTTAGTTGCCTATAAGCCAAAGCTAGGAGTTTGGAAAATGAAAGACAAATTTGAGTTGTTCATTTATTAGCATCAATTTGATGTGGTTAGCATTACTGAAACCTGGGCAGATCCGCATGATCAGAATGTTAAAATCAATTATTTTAACTGGTTTAGGAAAGGTCTGCTGGGAAAAAAGGGAGACAGAGAGGCATTCGGTCACACATGGCATTGCCTGTTCCCAAGCCTCATAGGGAGTCAATGCTTTTGAATGCTTCTTAGGGTACTGATCTATGGATAAAGTACAAGAGGGGCACTAGCAGGTGTCAGCTACAGACACCAAATCACACATGAGAACAGGGTGACCAATTCGCAAGAACAATGGCCTACCAATGGCCCATCTAGCCCCATGACCTTTCTTCTGAGAGCGGCCAGTGCCAGATGCTTCAGAGGGAATGAACAGAACAGGGCAATTAGAGTGAAAATCCTTGAGTGCTAATCTGTAATGTGCAGGGGGAAGAACCTGGTTGTAATGCTGATCTAACCAACACATGTTGGAGGTTTCCTGTTGTCAATACTAAAAATGTAATTGGCGTTCAGACTGTGAAGCTGGTTAACTGGTAAGCGGCACCCTTAACAGGTGAGGCTTATCAGTTAAGGTTAACCAGCGGGGCTGCTGTGGATACGGGCTGCGCCAGCACAGCCCCTGACTGCAGCAGGCCTGAGCACCCTGCATTATAAAACTGACAAATCAGATTTAGAACAGAAGGAGGGTCAGGGGGAGGGCTAGTAGCTATGAGATTATGATACTAGGGGTGATAATTGGGGAAGCTATCTTTGTAATGGGTAAGGTAATTGGCATCTTTGTTAAGGCCCATTGGTAAAGTGTCAGATTTAAGCATGAATGACAGTTCTGAGGTTTCCCTTTGTAGTCTGGTGTTAAACTCTCTTTGAAGTACGATACATGTAGTAAGGTCATTAAGACTATGCCCAGGTTAGTTGAAATGAAAAGAAACTGGTTTATCCTTGTGAAGATGTCTGATGTCTGATTTAGAACAATGTTTCCTTAGATCCTGACCCCTTTTACCCTCCTTTACTTACGCTACATCAATAACATCTTTATGATCTGGACCCATGGCCAAGAAACACTGGACGCATTCCTCATAGATACTAGCCCTCCCCGACCCCCCCTTCTGTTCTAAATCTGATTTGTCAGTTTTATAATGTGTTCACTTTTTTTCATTGTATTCCTTTAGTATATATGGTCAGGCCAATTCTCTTCCAGAATTTGATCTAAGGAAGTGGGTCTGGCCCAAGAAAGCTGATCACCTAATAAACCATCTTGTTAGTCTTTAAAGTGCTACATAGTCCTGTCTTTTGTTTCAGCAAGATAAGACTAACACGGCTACATCTCTATTACTATTTGTCATCTGTGATTTTGAGGATGACTCTTTTAGAGTGGAGTTGGTGGGTGGGAGTACATGAGCGTCTCATGCCATGGATGAGGAATGCAGCCCCTAGGGATGCAGTTCTGATTTCTGTGCTGGAGCAGAAGTGGTGTTTGTAGTTTTGTGATGTAGCAAACAGATTTATGGCTGGGAACAGGTACTGCCACTGTGAAGCTGCATTTCCATTCATGTGCAAAGTGCCTGCTGAAAGTGTCAACAGCCACATTCTGGCAGCCAGGGAGGTAGGTGGCTGAGATGTCTATGTAACATTGCCCTGCCCCCCCCCATTCTATAGTTTGATGGCCTCTATGCATAGACAGTGTGAGCATGCTCTCACTTGTCTGATGATGTAAAAAGCGCATGCAGTGTTGTTCATCAAGACACAAACTGTCCTGTGTCTTACGAGAGGGAGGAAGTGAAGACATGCATATCTGACTGTCCTGAGTTCTAGGAGGTTGTTGTGTAGACAGGTCTCCGTTGAGGACTGTCTGCTTTGTGCAATGTAGTGGTCTAGGTGTGCTCCCGCCCTCTTCCCCCCCGCCATGAGGGAGGCATCTTTCATGTCATCGCCAGGGAGGGCTGGTAAAAAGGGACATCTACAGATGTTTTCCCTTTTTGTCCACCAGTGCAGGGAGTTTAGCACATTGATGGGCAGAGTTATTACCATATGGAGGTTACGCATGGCTGGTTTGTATATTGAGCTAAGCCATCCTGTAGACACTGCAAGTTCATGGTGCCACAAGGATGCTTGCCGCCAGGTGGCCTAGCAGTTGTAGACAAACTCTGGCTTCTACTGTTGGGTAGATGGAAATTGTCAACATAAGGCGTTTGATGGCGAGGAATCTGGCAGTTGGGAGGGAGACTCTGGCAACGGTTAAGTCAGGAGAGCGCCAATGAATTGTATTTGTTGAGTTGGAATGAGAGTGGGCTTTTGGGTAGTGTGTTGGAGCCCTAGCATGTGGAAGAGAGAAATAATAATTCATGGGACCAATTGGGCCTCTTCATAAGACAAAAATCATAGCTGTAACAATAACATTCACTATCACATAATCAAGACAATATATCCCAGAGGTGTTAATCCTCATTCAATAAGGTTTAACTTAACTCTGTGAAGTTGATTTTAATTCCCAAAGGTTTGCTCAGGATAGTCAGTCTGTCACAGTAGAAATTAACTCAGGACACGTCTATACAGCAGGGCTTAACTCAAAATAAGCTATGCAAATTGAGCTATGTCAATTGCGTAGCTTATTTCAAAATAGCATTTTGAGTTTTGGTGCTGTCTACACAGCACTTATTTCGAAATAGAGCACTCTTCCTCCAACTTCCCTTACTCCTCATAACATGAGGGTTACAGGGGTCAGAGTAAGAAGTCCTCCAGCTTGACAGTATTTTGACATTATCTTGAAATAACTGCCAGGTGTGTAGACGCGGACTATGTTATTTCAAAATAGCGTTGCTGTGTAGACATAGCCCCAGAGAAGTCCAATGGCCTATGTTACGCCAGAGGTCAGACTAAATGGATGGCAGTGGCCCCTTGTGTCGTTAAAAATCTATGAACCCCTGGATTTTCACAGAAGGGTGAGGTTTTACAAATGTCTCATTTATCTACATGGGCTTGATCCCACAACAGCAGGGAATCCCCAGTCTAAGCTCTGCTTCCTGTCACCTATTCCTTCTTACAAAAATGCGATAGCATCGAGTCACAAGCTAGATTCAACTGTTCTCCATGCACTCTCACCAGCGAAGGACCTCATGACAACTGAATATGTTGGGAAATTAATGTTTGGCAGGTTTAAGTACTTAAAGTCTGAAGACTCAAGTAGTAAATGACCATTCAGTATATGGCATTAATTAGCTCAGCGAAAGAATGGAGGAAAACAGACACGTCAAGAAACCCCATTTGTGGCTGCTTCTGGCAGAGATGAGCTTGAAGAGGGCTCAGAGTGTACTGCAGGAAATGAAAAAAATCTGTTTATGCTAACCAGCTGGGGGAAAGCCATGGCAACCTGACTAGGTCGCTCTGAAATTAAAATGGACATTTTCCTAGTGTTCTATACTCATCTTTCCAGTTTACCCAGAGTATAGCAATCAACATACAGAGCAGGAAGGTTTGTTGGTGTTTTTTATCTGTGCACGCATCAAAGGGTTTTATCTGAATAGCACTTATAAAAATTTAATGAAAGCATTATCTTCCAGGGGTGCAACATAGCAAGGGTGGATCATGATGAGATGAAAGCTTCTTAAAATGCAGCTGTCAACAAAACATTTTTGTATTAATATACCCCTGATCACACTCACTCGCTACACACAGGCACAGATGACAAAACTAGATTAGAGGGAGACGAATTTCATACTGATCTCTGTTTATAATACAGAATTAACTAAGCTCTCAGGACAACACTATTTTAAAATGAAATCACCTATTTACAAACTGAGAATGAAGCTCTAACAGGGTAGCTGGACATAGGAGCGCACAGAAATACCTGACACTATGGGATTAAGCCATTAAACCTCACTGGCAGAGGTTTACATTATTATAAGCAGTTTGGTATTTTCTAGGAAAGTCCTATCTTGTGTGTTCTGTTGTAACTTGGGAGACTGGAATAACTCTAACAGTGCATATCCCTGGTGGGTCCATGCAGAGGCACGGACGATCTGCCGCTAAAGATAAGGTCTTAGTGCAATGAGGCCTTTGGAGGGAGTGGGGAGTATTTTAAGGGGGAAGTTAGGCAACTTCCGGACTTCAAACCAGCTCCCAGAGCCCCCTGATAGGAAGTCATTCCAGACTTTCTGGTTTCCTAGGCTGCTGTGGTCCCACAAGGTGCCCTGCACTTATTCCAGCATTTATGTTCCCACCACTCTTGTTCAGCCACACCTCTCCTGTTCATTCAGACTGGCATTTGCCAAAGGTGGCAAGAATACTGGCTCTCACCAGCTTACCTATCACAGCCACCTTCCGGATGGGCTGAGCTGAGGCAGTTTTCCAGGAAGCTCCAGATGGTGTTGTCCACTTCTGTACTGCTCTCTGTGCAAAGAATGCATACTGCATTGCTTTGGCTTGGCCCGAGGTCACCAGGTAGTGTAAAAACTCTCTCTCCTTCCAAATCCCCTCTGTGAAGGGCAGCTGAACAGAGGCCTTGACGGCTTGGACACACAACTCCGGAGACAGAAACCCCCGGGCCTGTTTTTTCACCTTCTCAAGAGCCTCACGGAAAATGGTGTCCATGTTGGGCAGACTTTGAACTTGCTTCAGACTGAGTCTGCGAGGATTTAATGGCTGACCTGGGTGGGAGAGTAGAGAAATACAGTTACAGAATTGCCAAGCCCACTCGTCTCCTAGTAGGCTACAGAGTTTTGCCCTTTTCTACATGGGAAGTTAATGCACTCTGGACTGGTTGATGCTTCGTGAGTGAAGTTTTCTCATGACACCAGAGAGTGGTTTGTATCTGGCACTATCACTCCTCTTCCATTTCCTGACCCATCTCACAATTGTGATTCTCCAGATGCACACTCCTCGGACATTCCAGCCAGGCAAAATCCCCAGCAAGCACTTCTGCTCAAGTTCTGTTCCTCACCTACTCGGGAGCATAAGCCACCAAGCATTTTGTATTCTCTGGGCAAGTGAAAAACCCTTCACATGCCACTTTGCTAACTCCAGTTCCCAGTACTGCATTCACAAAAGGAAAAACTATGTAGCACTTTAAAGACTAACAAGATGGTTGAATAGGTGATGAGTATTAGAGGGGTAGCCATGTTAGTCTGAATCTGCAAAAGCGGCAAGGAGTCCTGTGGCACCTTATAGACTAACAACACTTCTGTTAGTCTATAAGGTGCCACAGGGCTCCTCGCTGCTAATAGGTGATGAGCTTTCGTGGGCCAGACCCACTTCCTCAGATCATATTCTGGAAGAGAACTGGCATGACCATATATACCAAAGGCATATATACACTATATTGGCATATATATACACCATATATGCCAATTCTCTTCCAGAATATGATCTAAGGAAGTGGGTCTGGCCCACGAAAGCTCATCACCTATTCAACCATCTTGTTAGTCTTTAAAGTGCTACATAGTTTTTCCTTTTGTTTTAGCAAGATCAGACTAATACGACTACCTCTCTATTACTATTCTACAGTGCTGCATTAATAATTAATTTACAATGTACTTTGTTTCTTCGGACAACTGAGCGAAGCTTCCAGATCGCAGGCCCTGGTTCTCGTGGGGGACTTTAATCACCCTGACATCTGTTGGGAAACCAATACAGCAGTACACAGGCAATCCAGGAAGTTTTTGGAGAATGTTGGGGATAACTTCTTGACACAAATGCTGAATGATCCGACCAGGGGCCGCGAGCAGCTTGACCTTCTGCTCACAAACAGGGAGGAACTAATAGGAGAAGTGGAGGTGGGTGACAACCTGGGAAGGAGTGATCATGAGATGGTAGATGTCAGGATCCTGACCAAAGGAAGAAAAGAGAGTAGTAAAATACACACCTTGGACTTCAAAAAAGCAGATTTTGACTCCCTCAGAGATCTGATGGGCAGAATCCAGCAGGCAGTATTTTAAAGAAGCCTTATTGAAGGCACAGAAAGAAACCAACCCAACGCGTAGCAAGAGAGGCAAACATGGTAGGAGACTGGATTGGCTCACAGGGAAAATCCTTGGTGAACTTAAGCACAAAACGGAAGCTTACAAAAAGTGGAAACTTGGACAAATGACCAGGGAGGAGTTTAAAGGTATAGCTCGAGAATGCCAGGGGGTTATCGGGAAGGCGAAAGCGCAAATGAAATTGCAACTGGCTAAGGATGTGAAGGATAACAAGAAAGGTTTCTACAGGCATGTTGACCAGGGAGGAGTTTAAAGGTATAGCTCGAGAATGCCAGGGGGTTATCGGGAAGGCGAAAGCGCAAATGAAATTGCAACTGGCTAAGGATGTGAAGGATAACAAGAAAGGTTTCTACAGGCATGTTAACAAGAAGAAGGTGATCAGAGAGGGTGTGCGGCCCCTAATGGATGAAGGAGGTAACCCCTGGACTTCTGCGCTAAGTGACGCACGATGGGATGAAGATGGACAGCCCGTGGTGGGTAAAGAACAGGTTAGGAACTATTTAGAAAAGCTAAAGGTACACAAATCCATGGGTCCGGACTTAGTGCATCCGAGGGTACTGAGGGAGTTGGCAAATGTCATTGAGGAGCCTTTGGCTATTATCTTTGAAAAGTCGTGGAGATATTTTGAGACATTTGGATGAGAGGAAAGTGATTAGGAATAGTCAGCATGGATTCACAAAGGACAAGTCGGGCCTGACCAATCTGATTAGCTTCTATGATGAGGTAACTGGCTCGGTGGACATGGGGAAGTCAGTGGATGTTGTATATCTTGACTTTAGCAAAGCTTCTGATACGGTCTCCCACAATATTCTTACCAGCAAGTTAAGGGAATGTGGATTGGATAAATGGACAGTAAGATGGATAGAAAGATGGCTAGAAGGCCGGG